ATGGATGGTTTCAAAATCACAGGTTTGACCATCAAGATCCAATAATAATGTAGGGTGATATGGGGTAAATAAAGAAACCTGTGATTTCAAAAACCTTCAATCTGATTTGAAATGATTTGAATAGTGTCTGGTGCTGTCAGGCTGGAAGATTTTGGATTTAATTTGTGGGAGCCCCAACTGTTGACGGATCAACCCATAGCTTTTGATGGTTCAACCCATTGATATCCTATTCCAAGGTGCCTACCATGTCTTCATCTGAGGCCTGCAGAATTGGTGAGTTTTCACAATAGCCTTGTACCCAGTCCCAATTTGATTCAATCAGCCCAAGAGGTACCACAGCGTTCCCGGTCCCGATCCCGATCTCGGTGTTTGCTGCGCCGTGGGGACTGGCTCTCAGTTGGATCTCTCATTGTTCGTTCTTACGGATGTTTGTCAACTTTTGTCAATCAACAAATTTGAACTAAGAATGCAGCCGAATGGTCTCCACAGTGGATGCCTTACTTACTGGGTGGTTGGGTGGTTCCAAGACTTCGTCGAACTCTTAATGTTGACCAGTAGAATTTTTAAACTCAGGTCTTCCACAACCCCTCAAGCTATGCAAGTCGCGCTAGTTGACACACCCGTTGCCAAACCCTCAGCATCGCAGAAAATTGTGAAGTTGGATCACAAATTAAATTTGTTTGCAAGGCGTCTCAGCCGTCTCAGCCACCAGCGCATGATCATGATTCCACAGATGACGAGGCTCATCTGGTTTTCTGGGTTATTTAAACAGAATTTCACTGTACTCTCTACAACAACTTTGTTTGTTGCCATATTCATGACAAGTTTTTTAGTGGTGCTTCCGGCCGTGAACTTGCAGAAGGCTGATGAGGTAGACATGGCACTGACCTCAAGCCCTGTCAGCAGTGAAACAATGTGAGACACAGTGCGCTGACATGCTGTCTTAAGGACGATTTGATACAGAAGAACGCATACTTGGCGATAGCAATTTTCAATGCTAGGACCCCAGTGGCCCCCAGGATCAACCTGTTTTCAACCTGTTTTCTTAGCCTCACATGCCACGCTCACGCTCAGGCCCACGAGTTCCTCCGCAAGGCCATTGACACTGATGCGAACCCACTTGATAGTTTCGTAACCCTTTTTGATGTGATGCTGAACGTCCACAATCAGTGTTTCACGCGTGGATATGATTTGGGGTGCTTGCGCCCTATCGAATAGATGTGGTGAAAAAAAATTGGGGTGTTCTTGCAATGCATTGCAACATCGTGCAATGCAGGTAATTGCAATGCAGTGCAAGTATGCTTGTCAACAGCAAGGTCTCTTTTATCAGTGCTGTCAATGGTCAAGTTGACAAACAATGAAAAACAAACATATACTATCATATACTGTAATTGTAACCGATGTAATTGTAATCTGATGACATCTGATGTAGAAACTTTGAACATATCATTCGTGTCAGAATCTTAAACAAAACTATTTTTGACAAAAGCGCAATGCCCCTTGATGCCGTGGATGCTTTGAGTGAGCTGGACTCTGAAACATTGCTTTGATTTACTGAAAACAGTTGGGTTCTTACTAAAAAACATTGCTTTGATGCATCAAGTTGAACTAAGTTCTGAAATGGATGTCCAAAGTCCACAACATGGGTCCAGTCCTTAACTGGTACAATCCCTTGCGTTGTATTCCCAATGAATCCCACACCACGCCTAGGCCACGTGAAGAGGAAGCCCTGCAGGCCTGGTAAACACAAGTACGCACAAGTGGCGAGGGTGATTTTCCATCTCTTAAACAAACTGAATCTGATTCTGGTGGCAGGCTGGCCGACTGCCAAGATATGGGGTATCTATGGGTGGATGCCCTTTCCAATTTCATCAGCCTTGGTTTCTACCACAGAAGGATTGGATTCCACTGCAGATTCGGTTGGCCATTTGACCGCAGTGTCATCTTTTTGAAAATGTTGTGACATTGATTACATGTAGAACCTTCATGTCAAAACTTACCTCTCAGGAACCACCAAGGAAGCCAAAATCTGGAAGCCGGCTCCCGAAGAAGGGGGAATTGATCAGCAAACCTTTGGTGAAGCCATCATATGGAACAATTAGCCAATTTCTCAGGTCCATTGATTTTCAAACCGTGAAGTATGAAAGGGTTCAAACTTATTTTTCAATACCCTGCTTCTACTCTTGGGCTCAGGACTCTTTGGGTCGACTGTGCAGGCCAATCCGAAGTACCTCTCGAAACGAGGTTCTGGCGTGCGCTTCTCAATTTGAATGTCCCATATGTCAATGTTTGAAACTGATTTTATTCTTTCAAAGCAACATGTCGAACAATGTAACAACATCTCATTGCATCTGAGGATTTTGCCAACCAGGTCTTTTGGTCTCGGGATTACACTCAACAGTGCAGGGCAAAAGGGATCCCAAAAGGGATCTTTTGTCGCCCAGAGACGGGAGAGTTCATGTCAGGCAAGAAACGGTTTTGAAATGTTTTGGAACATGTTGAAACATTAGCTAACGTATGATCAGCTTTGCTTGCCCTGTAGCAGGCCTGCCAATTGGCTGGACGTCTCCACGCCCGGGGTCAGTCAAAGACGATTTGCAGGTGATCTTTCCTTGGCTTGCTGCTGACTTCAAGGACCTAGCTCATGCATGTTCATGTTCAAAACGGTGTCCAACGCATTGTCAGTGTTTCCAGAACCAGGAGCCCAGGCACAAAGTGGCTTCACTATTTTCGGGCGTCCTCGGGATGGAGCTTGGCCTCAGGCCGTGCGGCACTTAAAGCGAATCGTTGGAATATGTTGGATAATTTCATAATGATGCACCTTTGGATTGTGAACCAACATTGTCAAGGTTCATCAAAGTTGTCAGCTACGTCTGGTTCTCAAACATCTGGATGTGCGCTTGTAAGTTATTGGCCTAAAAACAGCAAGTGTTGAACGGAATGACTTCTGTCAGGTTGAACGGAATGACTTCTGCCAGCAAGTCATTCGAGCACGGATGGAAGATGGATTGGCAGACCCAGCTGTGATTCATCATGATGTTTGCACAGTCAAAGCGGAAGAGCTGGGTGATGATGTTGCTGGCATATTGGCTGGTTTCCCCTGCCAGGCCAGGAACTGCCTCACTGAGTGCCATGCAAAAAAGTCAACTTCAGCTGATTCTTGACAATGCCGTTTCCTGTTCAGGGGATAAGCCGGGCTGGCGCCCAAAGATCCATGAAGGACGATCGGAGCTCACTGGTGACCCAACCGTTTAGGCTTTGGGATGAGTCAGCAGCCCGTGGAAAGCCATTGAGACTTGAAATGACTTGAACATGTTTCAAACTTGAGACTTGAGCAGGTTACATCGTGTTCCACCTGTCATTTTTGTGGTAAGATATCACACCACATGACCCCAGGAAATTTATGATGCTGGAGAATGTGGGCCAACTTCTATCACTCAAGTGCCGGGATTGCATGGATTATATCCACAAGGCCAGTCCTTTGCTTTTGAACTCACTTGCCCCCTGCTCACCCACTCTGCCTTCGTCGCTGCAAGGCTGCGGCTGAACGCAACCTGAGCATCATGTATGCTGCTGTCAATGGGCACCAAGTTGGCGCTCCGGCCACGAACTCAGAAAAATGCCACAGATACTGGCGTCAATTGGTTTTCAACTGGTTTTCTCATGTTTTCTCAACTGGTGTCAACTAAGATATGGAGAGAGCGAGTTTTCTTGCTCCTGGTGGCCCCGGGCTTCACATTTTTCGAGGTCTTTCAACTGTCTTATTGTTGAACTTTAATATGATTCAACTGTACTTGTGGAACTTTAATCTTGTCTCATTAAATTACTGTAAAGTCGAGATGATTTTCTTTCTGTCACAGGGCCAAACGATGATGGCAGCTGACAGCCTCAAGTCCTGGCCGCAGAAGAAATGGATGATGGGGTCAAAAAAACCACCCCTTTACCAATGGCTGAAGAATAGCAAGACGGAAATGGATACAAACCGACTGTCCACATGTGGAAACATAGTGGTGCCTGTCATGGCATACTTTGCTTCGCAGTGCTTGCATGCAATGAGTTCTAATCACTGCCCGTAGCAGAAAAAGTTCTTTCAAGATTATGGAAATACATATCTTGATGGCTACCAATTGCCAATTCATTAGAGCTGGTTTAATTCACCACTTTCAGGGCTGCCTGTACCAAGCCAGAAAAGTTGAAAAAATCGTTTTGCGCTTCCCTATGCAAAGCAAGAGTCTTGTGAAACATGCAGCAGCACTATGCAGCAGTGTGAATAGTAATGAAATCTGTAAGTTCGAACCATCTACATAATCAATGATGTCCTCAAGAACTTTGGCCCAAAACATTGTCCCGCTTCATCCTTGCCTCTGGGCTTTGCCGGTGATGCTGGCACGATTTTCTCTGCCTGTGATTGTGCATGTTGGCTATGTCAAGGGAAGCATGTCTTGATATTACTGCATGGATGTGATGCAGCTTTCTGGCTAAACGATGCTAAATTGGGATCAATGGTGCCAAAAGTGTTCAAACAGCATGTTATTTAATATGGTTCGCAAGACATAGCAAGATCATACAAAGCCCTTAATCCTTACTGGCAACATAAGAGCAGGTCTCTTTGAATGCCTTTGAATCGTTGAAGCAACTTACATCCGTCACAGCTAGCAGCAAACATGCTACCAGCATTACAATAATAAGACACGGCAGTAGCACATATGATGCGCTGGGCTATTTTTTTGGCTTTGCTCGCAGTGAGGACTTTTAGGACTGAGCCCCAAACACACATCAGTTGTTGCTCTTCTCAACAACGCACCTTAAAACATGGTGCAACCGTGCAGGACAGCTGGCAGCTGGGAAGCTTTTGAACTGGTGTGGCCAAGGACAGTTCGGAATGATGGCCATGACTTTGTTGTGCACATCTGTTGATGAGAATGCAAACAACTTTTGCTATTAACAGTAAAGGCTTGGTCCAATGAATCTATCATCAGAACATGGAATTTTCTTTCAGGATGCCATCTCTTGGACAAGTTGATGTCTTATCTGACGATGAGGGACACACCAAGTCGAACAATGAAGCAGTGCCGAGGGTGAGGCAAAGAGGGCCCTCCAGTCTCAGGTTACCTGCAAGAAGCCGCATTTTTCGTGTCAAAGTGGGTGTTGCACATGTGGGGAAACATGATCCACGACATCTAGCCAACCTCATCAGAAGCAAATGTGGTTGCAAATCAGATTGCTTTCAAGCTTTTCGATCCCATGAACATCAGCTGCAAGAATGGATGACGCTTCGAAAGAACATTGCAAAGTTGTCAAAGCTCGAGCATGACAAGTACGTCAGGCTCTCAAATGTATTCCAGTTTTTCGTGGATCTTTACATTCTTGTGCAAGTTTACTATACATATATATACATATCTATACATACAGTTTATAGTTTAAACTCAAAAAGGATCCAGCAATTCAACTCAGGTCTACAAGATCCTCCAGGCTCAGGACAGCACTCCGTGCCGGGGTTCGCGACACCTGCGCCTGATGGGCAAACTGGTATGTAACAAAGGGTTTATGAAGTTGATGGGGATCGGGAAGTACAGGTTCAACACACTGTATACAGCTTCCAAAAACGGGGAAGAGTATTGCCCCTATGATGGGCGTTTTGTGGTCAGAGAACCCCAACCGCCCAGCTCAACATGGGAGAAGGTGCATACTTTCCTCACAAGGCTTCACCTGGAAATTGCAGAGCCTATCCCTGACGGGCTCAACTCGAACAAGAGGCCACGACATGGGTTGAAAAAACGGGATTCACCCGACTTGAACAAGGAAAATATCAAACACCTTCCCCATGGTTCGATTAGCGATTACTGGCGGCAGTGCTTGGCTGCCTATCCGGGGGTGAAGATCAGCCGGAAGCTGTTTTGCACTGATACCCAGATGTATTTCAACTTAACTTTTCATGTTTGACTGTACTTTTATTGAATGATTTGCTGTGGATGTCTGTAGGCTTTTTCCCCATTTCATTTTCATGTTGGTAGCAGGTGTTTGGGCATTGTTTTCCTAGGTGTGGCAGTCGGACTTCGAACATTTACTACGTATTCGCTTCGCCACACATCACTCCAAATGTTCGATCTGCACCAAGCACCGTTTGATCATCCGCAAGTGTGGGCACAACCCAGCCGCAGCACAGGCACAACACCATCAACTACAGCTTCACTTAAAGCGACAACATGCAGATCGGCAATGCTACTGGGCATCAAGGTCTCGTTCAAGGCTGGGGGCGACAACACTGGGGGAATGTGAAGTCACTTGCATCCTGGATTCCATGGATGCCCAAAAGCATGCATGGCCCCGATCCCGTTCGATGTCATGTAAAGAATTTAGCAGCTTTAACCGGCCACGTATGACTTCCACAACATTGCTGGTACATGGACACCTTGTACTTGTGGCCCTCTCCCCACACACCTGCACAAGTGGAAGTTCACGAACCGCTGAAGTGCTATGCCACGGCCTCACTCGGATGGCCACTCGGGTGGACTTTAGCCAAGTCTGGCTAAATCTCCAAGCAGACAACTGTTCGAAAGAAGTAAAAAACAATGGTACATTGAGGGTCCTTTCGCTCTGGGTAGCTTTACACAAGCTACGCGGAGCAGAGGTATCATTCCTCTGCTCCGGACATTCTCATGAGGATGTGGATGCTCTTTTTTCCCTCTTTGGGGCACATCTAGATCGACACAAAGAACTCTGGACCCCAGCTGCTTTCCAACAATGCCTCCAAGACTTTTTCCAAGATCGCCAGAACCGGCCATACGAGCCTGAGAGGTCGGTTGAACTGCTCACCCGCTACAAAGATTGGACGCTCATCAGAACTATCACAAACATATTTTCTAGTTGGGTGGACTTGGGTTATAAAATAGTTATCGTTAAATATATTTGGACCAAAATCAATGTGGGTGCATTTTCCAGATCTTACCCCCAGTCCCTGGTAGGACAAACTGGCTGTCTTTCCACTTCGGGCATGCGAAGTTAAAGGGCATTGGTGGCCCAGGGGCACCTCATGTGATGCGATTGGAAAGGATTGGAACAACAGGACCTCTGAACAAACCAATATCATCGTCCATTGTTTTGTGAAATCTTCTTCAAAACTTTGATGGCATACTTCATGCAGCTCTTCTTGCATGGAAGGAATCAAAAGGGAATCGCTGGACACTACCTTTTGGAATCGAAATGATTACATGCCCAGCACATCGGATGTGATTCTCAGGACTGACAGTGTCATTACTTCATTTGATTTTTTGATACTTGCACATCAGGAAATCATTGCTTTGATATTTGGACAACTCCCTTGGCCAACAGCCCCAGGACGAAACAGTGGATGAGTGATCAAGCTTGGCAACCCACCACGTTCTTGTTCCTTCCAGCCTCAGTGGCTCAGCGGGTTCAGGGTGACTCTCCTCCAGGCCCCTCTTCTTGCTGTTCTGTTTTGTCCTTTTTGTCCTGTGGTTGTCGCCGTCGTCGTCGTCGTCGTCGTAGTAGTCGTTGTCGTCGTCGTCGTAGTAGTAGTAGTAATGGCAGCAGCAGCAGCAGAAGCAGGAGGAGGAGGAGGCGGAGTAGTAGTAGTAGTAGTAGTTGTTGTTGTTGTTGTTGTTGTTGTTGTTGTTGTTGTTGTTGTTGCCGTCGTCGTCGTTGTTGTTGTCGATGTTGATATTGATATTGATGATGATGATGATCATGATGATGATGATGATGATGATGGTGATGATGATGATGATGGTGATGATGATGATGATGATGGTGATGATGATGATGGTGATGATGCCAATGATGATGATGGTGATGACGATGATGATGATGATGATGATGTGTGGGATGATGGTAACAATGATGACAGTGGTGGTGATGATGTTGATGATGATGAACAATGATGATGATGATGAGGATGAGGATGAGGATGAGGATGATGAGGATGATGATGGTGGTGGTGGTGGTTATAGTAGTCGAGGGTTTCCGATCTCAATGCTCCGGTTGCTGACTCAACTGTGCAGGTTTCATGGAGAAGCCAGTGAACCCCCAGTCTGATGAGAGCAAGTCCCTCCGGAAATATGCGCAGCTTATGCGTCCTTTCCCCAGGCTTGTGTTAACAAAAGCAATTTTCATCATTTGGATTTTCATCATTGGATTTGCATTAATGGATTTCAATCCATTCTATTTGAGGTCAAGACCCTTTCGACATGCACAGTGCTGCGCAAGAGCTTGAAGATCTGTCCTATGGGATCACCAGTCCTCATTTCTTGGATGTAAGCTGGTGGGGATTCCCAAGCATTTTGAGGTTTGGATGAACATATATTTTGTTATATTTTGTTGTTGCATTCTCGCAAGTCTCAGTCATTCCCCCGGTTCTGAGGGCTTTGCCACAACTGGGACCTGCGGTTGGCCGGTCTGCCTGGCCAACGGTGCAAGGTCGCTCATTGGAGGCTGTCAGGAACCAAGTCTTTTGGAATCTTTTGGATAAATTATCAAACTAGCCTTCCATCCTTTTTACATTTGAACTATCCAATGGCCTCCAATGCTTAGGCGGCAAACCAGCTGAAAATTGTGAGAGAAAAACCTCCTGCTCAAGAGGCCAACAGGTTTCGGAGAGCTCGTAGCCATCAGGCTTTGTACAGGGCTGCAAGTCAGCTTTGGTTGAAAGGAATCAACATGTCTGATGCCATCAAGATAGTTTCAGAGGCTGTGGAAGAGGCTGCTGCGTAGCCATAGCTTTGGGGGATAGTATTGGCCTTCAAATCCAAAAATCTCCAAAACCATGTTCGTTTCAGAAACCAAGCCCAATACAATCCAAACAATATCAAATTACAGCTGTCTTTCAATTTGTGGGCCTTTACATACTTTTACCAGTACCAGGTTTCACATCACCTGCCTCCAGAACCAGAACGGGATTGGGAGAAAAAAATACCGTTTTGTGCATAGGCCTTTCTGCACAAATCAGGTGCCTCTGGATATCCTTCGTTTTGTGCAGGATCGGGTCGTGATCCGGCACAAAATCAAAGGTTTCACAGTGGGACAGCTAAAAATTTTGGGGTTGCCTAAATTTTCTTGAGTGATTCCACTGAAAACCTTTGATTTTGTGCAGGATCGGGTCGTGATTCGGCACAAAATGAACATCTCACTGAGACTTCAATTTTGTGAAGAATCGGGCATGCACAAATCACTCATTGACCAACTGTTTTTCCAACTGCTGTACCATCTCTTTCCTCCCCACCATCCTTGCCTCATGCCAGGCAATGGGCGGCCCAAAGCGGAAGGCACCTAGCACTGGAACGGCTGGGTCTAAGGCCAAGGCGAGTAAGAAAGGTAACAATGCTACCTTGAGTGTTCCACCTGATGCCATGAAGTTGCCCCATCTTCGAATCTATGATGACTGGGCGCACCTTTTCAGCAAATAATGAGATTGATTTATTTGATTTTGAAACTGTTTTGAAAACATGAACCACCTTCATCGACCCAGGCAAGAGAACCTGTTCTCGGTCAACAAGACCCTGGATGTCTTCCTCACACATGAGCTCAGAAAGGAGGCCATATCATAGCAAATGCACTTATGAAGATTATATGATGATGTCAGATCAACATAATTCTATCATAGATCAACCACCGTATGAATCATTATGAATATTATAAATCACCTTGGGAGGCAGCAGCGAAAGCCTTTTACAAGTTCATCGAAGCTGAGTTCCCACCAGATCCAGCAGTGTAAGGCCCTTAGTAAAAAAAAACATTAGCTTAATATTGTAAGACCCAATGATGTTGTCCCATGCCCAGGTCGTACAGCACGGCAGCTGACCTCCAGGTGGAAGGGACATCGCTGTTCCTGCGACCGTGGCAGTTGCCACACAGGGCAGACTACGGGCTCCGGGGGACAAGCGATGGAGAACCTTTGATGAAAGTCAGATTCAAAAGTTGAAATTAGGAATGATCAAGATATGTATGACAATCTGAAATAACATGTCAATGCTTAACATATGCGTGTTTTCTGCCAAACTGAGGAAGTGCAGCATTACCTTGCCCAACTGGTGTTGTTGAATGGATTCCAGACAGACCCAAACAAGCCGGGAAATGAAAAGATCGTGGGGTGCTCAGTGAGAACAGAATGGCTTTACAACAAGCCAACCACGATCGCGTCTTCGCAGATTGGAGAGGGGAGCTTGGCCAACCCAGGGACTTTGTTTCTGGTCAAAGGCTGGAACAGATCCCTGTGCTGCTTGGGAGTCTTGATGGCGTGCTTTCAGAAGCCCGAGCTTTTGAAGGATTGGGGACACACCATCACTGTGATTTCCCATTGCTGATTACCCATTGAACTGCTGACTACCCATTGAACTGCTGACTACCCATTACTTGTGATTACCCATTGTAAATTGCGTTTCTCCGGGGAGGAAATGCCACCAGAAGTGCGAGCGCAACTTAGCTCAAATTCAGTGCGTTCATGTTGACTGACTGAGTGGACTGAAATGAACTGAAACTGTTGGCTGGCAATTTGAGTGATACCTTGAAATATCTCATTGATTCCCATTGTTTTTTTTGTTTATTTTTGATACAGGTCCTTCAGCACAATCTATGCCTCTGCGGTTCAATCTGACGGCAACATGATTGTGACGACGAACACGGGTCATCCAGCTGCAAGTGAGTCATGTTGGCACAACCCCAACTTCCCAAATACGTATTGAAATTCCATCAACTTCCCATCTAAGGTGTCACACTCGGAAGCCAACTCCGGCGCCGCCCCAACGCCTTCAACCTGCTCCATCAATTGGAGTTCCTGGAAAGGAGTGGGATGACAGAGGATATGACCATCAAGTCGCTGGAGGCCAGTATAGTTTTGAAATGAAACCCAATGATTAATGAAACTGGTTCAGCCATGATTACAACATATTACAACCACATCACAATTATCAGTAAAACGTGTTTCTTTCAGAGGGGGCCAGAGTTTGTGAACACTTCATCATCTTAATCCACTTCATCCAATCTTTCCGAATGAGGCACATCAGAGTGTATCAGCATTTGCTGCAGCCTACCAACTGGGGGAGAAGGAGTCAGCTGCAGCAGTGAACTTGCTGAAACATATCCCCAAGGACACCAAGGACGCCCTGACCGAGCTGGTGCGGAGTCTTGAGTTATAGTATTACATTGTATGTTTTTTTTTGGGGTTGGGGTTTTCCCTCAATAAATCTATCTCACTTTTTTGTGGGATTGCCCGAAACAAAACTGGAAGCCTCAGGATTTACACCCAACCACGCTTTCTGAATCATGATGCGCTGGCAGAAGGGTTGTTGAACCATGGGCACAACACTGCTACGGGATTTCTTCAGCCCTGGAAACAATTCCTTTGCAACACCCATCCGCTCTTACAGCTCTTAGTGGTTCGAATGCAGAAGGACTTTATGGCCACCGCACCGAAGATGCGAAAGCCATGGAACTCCAAAGATCTTGATTCATGGTTGCACATACTTCTTCATGGTCCCCATTCTATTGGTAAAGGGTATCAACACCAAAATTTAAAGAATCCCAAATCCATCCCAAACTCTTTTTTCGTATGAAATTTGAACTCCCGAAGGCCCAGCTACAAAGAGCCTGTGGTGGCTTCCTAGCGTGCATTGACCAGTTCCAATCTTTGGTGCCGGCAAAATTTGCCAGCCAGGCATTGGTCGAAATTCACAAGGCGTTCCTTATTATCACAATAATTATTGTATTGTTTTCTTAATCTTTGCTTTGTCCCCTCTACTTTTTATTACTTTTTTATACCCATCATAATCCTTTCAAAACTTTCCCAAAGACCGGGGATCCCCCCTTCAGATCCTTGAGGTTCGAAATGCGGCATGGAGATGCCGACATCTTGCAAATGATGGAGACGACGGTGCCTCCGGCAGACATCACGAAGGTTGCAATCTTTTCGCAACCCTTGGGGAAGTACAACAAAGAGGTGTGCTGGGCAAAAAGAACATGACCATTTTAACTTTGCAATGACCATTGACACCATGAACTTGTAATCACCATGCCAACCACCCCTCATAAAAACATCCCCACACTAAAACAAGTTTGACACCGTTTAATTCTGTGGATCTTGGGCCCCATCAGGTTGAGAAGGAGTCCACAGTGAAAGCAGAGCAGCTCTTTGGCTGTATATGTTTTTTGGTTCCCCAAACGTGATTTCCCTAACATATTTTTTTGGGTGGGGCTCTCAGAGTAAAAGGCTCGCAGCCCAGCTACTTCAAACGACTTACCAGCAAATGGAGCTCCAGTGCCAAAGCGATTTGGCCAAGCTGCGTGAGTGGGCGGCCAAATTTGATTTGTATGCCAACAAACAGGCTTGGTTGTTCAAAAAAAATAAACCACCAGCTTTATTCTGAATGTGGTTTCCCTGTCAGGCATCCCTTGACTTCAAATACATCAATGACCGGTACCAGAAGGGACGCACCTCCATCGAAGAGTTCATGAACTCCAAGCACAAGTTCCTTCGAGTCTCTTCCTTGGTGCTGGCTCATGCGGCCATTGTCCAGGCCCAGGGTGAATTGGGTGCCTCTGCGTTTCTCAGCTGGAATTCACCCATTGAAATTGCATGGGGATATATAGGGGATCTTAACGATATCCTTTTATGATTGTCATTTGTTTTCCAAACCATTCCAAAGCCAACAAAGGCTGACCATCCTTGTGGGTGACTTTACCCTTTGGCCATCCCGTCCCTTGATTGAAGTCGGTTTTGATTTTGAACTTCTTAATCCACTCCCCAATGGAAAGGATTTAACAACACATAATTAATTATCCCACAATTACACATTTCCATTTAGATTCACCCATTTTGATCCATTTTGAGGAGCGCTGTCCATCGATGAGTCCGTCACGCTGGCCCAGGGAGTTGCAAGTGGGAATGCTGGCACTGTCAGCTTCTGGCTGTTGCCACAATGGCACTCGAGCATGGGCAAACAATCTGTTTTGAAGAACCGGAGGTTGCTCGAGGACAAGGTGATCGGGCATCTAGGTTTACAAACACCAGTCCAGGTTCTATGTTCATTTGTTTTACACATTGTGTATTTTTCCAACCAAAGAAGAAATCCCAAAAAAAACTGTGATTCAGTGTCCCATCATTAGTTTCAAGGTCGATGGATGTCTATGAAATCGCCCTCAATTTCCAAGATTCCAGTCACCAGGGAGATCGCCGCAAAAAGTCGCAGCAATGTTTCTTGGTTTATGATTTGGGATGATTCAGGCACCCATCAATGTTTTAACTCTGGATTTTATCATCGGAAATTCCCAATGTCAAACGGTTCCCCCATTATTATGGTGGGGGTTCCCAAAAGATCCCAACATTATTTTGGCACAACGCCGTCCCAAACACTGATTTCATAATATGTCATATCTAAGTTCCAAACATTTTTCCCCAAAACAATCCCCCGACCAAGGTTTGGCTGGGGTCTCCAGCGGCCAAACCAATGTGGCATTTTCTCACTCCAAGAGCCTCCTTGGCACGATCAGCGGGGTGGAGAGGAGCAGGGTCCAGGAGCTTCAGAACCCAGATCCCGACAAAGCCCTTGCTCCACACTGGAGGGTTACTGGGTTGTTGTCACATGTTTTCAAAAAATGATTTCACCCTCTGATTTCAAACAATGATTTCGCCTTCTTGACATCTAATTCACATGTCAGTGGGGAACAATATGGGAACAATTGATATCATAATGTCACAAAATAAACAATTCTCATTGGACATGTGAGGTTCAACAACGCGGGATCCCTGCCACCAAAGAGATTTTGCTCAAGCTGCTGGATGGCATGAACGAACGGGATGGCCACAAGGTCTTACTGGTGGACATGGTGCCATCAAGGCGTGTTCTTCTTTACTGTTTCTTGGGCTTTGGGGTATGTTCCCATTACTAACTAATTTGGGTGCTTCGCATAATTATTTCAAAAGTATAACCGCCCCTGGATAGGTTTTCCGAATGGTCTCAAGCTGCATGGGACCTCCAACGTGGATTTTTGCTTGGAGACGAAAGTTGCAAGCACTGGGACTGTCACTTCATGTCACTGCATCATGACAGCGACAACTTCATGGATCAGGCCAAAGATTTGATCACTGGAAGGGCAATGAGTCAGTGGTGGGATCAATCACAAGAATCGGGCCCTGCTGCAAGAAGCTCTGAGCCCTTTGCAGTGGACCTCCCCCAGTTGGAATGCTTGACAGTGGCTGATGGGTCGGTCAAGCCACTTTGTTTGTATCCACTGTTTTCAAATGTTTTCAAAACCCCTTAAACCTTGAACACTGTTTTTGTTTTTTTCATCCACTGTTTTCAAAACCCTCCAGGACCGTTTTTGAAAATTATATGAACTTACCCAATCCCAGGATTCCCGATCTGGTGATGCAGAAGTATGCCACAACCCACAGTGATGGCCTCAACGCCATTTCAGAATCGATCAGCCAAGAGGCCGCTATGCAGAAGTCGGTGAAGATGTTTTCCACTCCAACATCCTCAGCCGGAACGGAAAGCAGGACGTTGGCAAGTCCAGAGTGGGGCCCGGATGCTCCAGTCAACTGGCAGAAGTCAGTGCAACTCACTGGTATTGCACTGGCTGACTTCGATTCTGGAAACACGTGCCCTTAGCTGGATTTAGTGTGATTCTAAGATGTTCGGATTTCTACTTTTCCATTGGGGTGATTCCAACATCACACATCAACTCATCTTTAAGGCCAGAAGGTTGTGGTGTCCTGGCCCGTGAGCCCCAGATCCAAATTGTTTTGACCTCTTTGGGAAGCTTGTGGTTGGTGAATCGCAGTGGCAACGACATCGTTCTACCAGCAGGGGAAATTTTTGGATTCAATACAGGAACTTTCCAGGAAGTCCCGTCAGGCTTGGATCTAGTAAACACTGTACTTGCAACATGGGTTTGTCTCAAAATGGGGGATATTTCAAGATGACAATTTAATAGGGAACATGATGATAAACAATCGATTTTGGGGGTACCCCATTTTGAGACAAACCCACATGTTGGATTTGCCACCCAAAATATCTTTCTATGCTTTTGGTGTGACCCTGCTAGATCAGTGCATGGTGCAGAGCGGGACCATTGCATGGCATGTCACCAACGACAATACGGTGGTGTGCTTGGTATCTGCATCTGGCAAGAAGATTAGTACGGTGGCAGATACCATGTGCGATATCACACGCACCCGTGGCGTCACCGAAATTCGGGTGACAGACCATGCCCTGCAGCCCAAGATGCAGGTCGGTAGGGTTCTTAAAGCTTCGGTTGTCCCCAGTTTGAAAAATGGGATAACAAATAACAATGATTTAAAGTGGAACCATGTGGAACCATACTATGTTTAATCATGCTTAATCCTCTGGGGGGCTCTCATGCAGGTGACGGGTGACGGAAGTCAAATCCCACTTTCTTACCGCTACAAAGTGGTTCCGGACCACAAGGTCAATGCCTTCAAGCCGAAGGATCTGTCCAGCGAGGACAAGCTGAACTTGAGGGCGGCTCAATTTGGAGCCCTTTACAATGGTCGTTTTGGCCAATTGCCCCGATCTTCCTACTGTACTTTGGTATGGGAGGCTGGGGGTGCCCCAAAAAACATAAAAAACGATTTCGAAATTGGTTGGTTCGACCTTCATTAACCCATAGGATCCATGTATGGTATATATGCTAACATTGGGGGTATATTGATGGTAAATGTTACCATATATAGCATACATGGATCCTATGGGTAAGACAGTACACTCACAGAAAGCCACAACCCCCATAGGGTGCCAAGCGTCTTCCATTCTCATACATCCACCACACAGCCAATCGCCTGCCAGGTCAAGGTTACGGAAGGACTTCCATGTACGATCGTGCCCCTGAAGCCAAAGATGTTCTTACTTGGCCAGCTGAAAATCAGTGCTGGCACGGCCGTCAAATTGAAGTGAAGGCTTGGGATTTGAGTGCAAGGCTTGTATGTGGTGGATTCAGGGGATGATGCTGCATGATATTGCCAAACTATCTGCAAACATCTGCAATGTCATTTCTTCATGGGAAATAATTTTGAACATAACCCAACATTTTCTGGTTTACTTTGGACCCCATGCCACCTTTCACAAGTCAGTAGGTGCACTCTCATTTTGACCAGTTCGGGATAACCCAGAACTCTTGGGGCTTGGCGCTGCGACTACAAGATTCAGCGCCTGAAGTTGGAGCCGAGATGAAATCAGCGATGCGTAGGATTGCACCATGTTGCACCTCATTCAGATTGTGCTGCAGTTAGATGTGATACAAAGCAGTGACTGACATTTTGTTCATTGAAAACCGTTGCCATTTGAATTGCCCTGCGTGTCACTATTAATTCATCATACAGTTTTTCATATATAGTTTTTCCGAAAAAAACAACATCTATGTCAGGATTGGGGTTTCACAGGTTTGTAGCTGCAGCCATGGTGCTGCAAGAAGTGGATGCCCTCTCCGATGAGGATATCCAGCCACGGGCCCCTGAACAGAGCGCAGGGTCAAAGACAAACGAGAAAACCACAAAGCCAGGCAAAAGCACAAAGCATGGTGAAAAAAAAAACCCAAAGCAGTGGCCAAAAAACCCAAAGCGTCTCCGAAGAAGAAGAAAACAGGAAATAAGAAACCCACAGATACTGAACCTGATGAGCGTTCAGCTTCACCAGAGCAGGAGGTAAGTGTGTCGGAGGAAGTGGATGAGGAGGTCTGCAAGAAACCGGCTGCAAAGCCAAAGTCCAAGCCAACCAAGGGGATGAAACGCCCAGCAGCTGCCACCAAAGAAAGCAAGCCCGTGGAAAAAAAAACGAGCACAGTGAAAAAAAATTACAAATACTTGTACAAGGACACCCAAGTTTGGGGCTTCAAGATCGATGGCCAGCAGCGAATGACTGTGACTAGGCTTTAAAACATATTTTAGGGTCAGGGGATCACACCGCAATCATGCACATGTATGCAAATCAAAATGCTTGATTCATACGTTTGTTCACATGTTTTGCACTACTCCAACCCCCTCTCGCTCAGGTGAAGCCCGTGGAAGGCCTTTCTGCCGAAGTCATGGAAACCATTGCAGCCGCTCGGCTCGTAACATGGAAAATGGACTCACATTGTTTTCAAATCGAATCATCATGTCAAGTCAACAACAGAGATTCAAGATTTTCACAGCTAAATTGATAAACATATTTTCCCAATATGTCTCAAACAACCAGCGTGGTCCCAGGATGCCGCAAAGGCTGAGCTGGTCCGCACGAATGGCAACATTAAGATGGCTACCGATTTGGTTGTGCCTTGCCAACATTTTGACATGTTATGTATGAAAACTGTGTGCCATAAAAAGTCACAGTTAATTACTGTCATTACTGTCATGTCTCTTCACTTGGTCACGCTTTGTGAGGAATCTATGAAGAAGGCTTACATGGAAGCTGATGATGACGGTGCTGATGACAATACCCTAGCTCAGATCGATCCTGAAGAAGGGGGCGAAGAAGAACTGCGCGAAGATGACCCTGAAGAGTGAGGCAACTCAATCAATGAACCCGCATCATCAATAGTTTTTCTTTCAAAGAAAAACTCTTGGTGATATGTTTCAAAAGAGTCACAAACAGTTCCCTTGAAACTACTATCCAGCCAATAGCTGCTTGATCAACATGACAATCAAAAGTTAGTCGGTGACGTCTTAGAGCAACCCATATCAACATATATATATATATATACATCAACCCCATTCATTTTAAGCCGTTTGAAGCATTGTTGTTTTTCTTGTTGAGTAATCTGCCCACTAGTCAAGCCCATGACAGGCCAAAAGCAGACTCGCGTTGAGTTTTGAGTGGCACGCTGAAACTTAGATTTCAGATTTCAACGCCTGCCTGCATGAAATCGGCCAGTGAACCAATACTATTTTCCGTTACTATTACATTCCATTCACACTCCATTGCTATTCCATTACTATTCCATTACTATTACTATATTCCATTACTATTTTCCAAGGACAACTATTTGTTTTGCATGTCCCACGTGCCGTTCATTGCTAGCAGAATGCCAAGGAAACATCAACCAGAAAAACGGTTGAACACATGACTCCGTTAGATGATGTTCGCGTCAGAAGGGTGGATAAATTTGCGTTCCTGTATTTAATATGGGTATGGCATGGTATGGCTCAAAACTATCAACCCCAAAAAATGTTTGGTTTATTCCCCAAAATGATCAAATTTGTGGTTCCATTGGCGCATATTGGCACCCCATCTTTTGAGCCAAACCACTAGTTAATTATTCAGGTGCATCTTCTTGGAACCAACCAGTCTGTTGTTCTTAACATGTGTCAGTTGATGATGGTTTTCTTATGTTTTCTTTACTTCGAGTGCAGCCTTTTGGCACGTTGAAAAGACAACCCTTGGGACTGTCGACATGGCCACCCTTTTTTGGCTTGGCAACTTGGTTCAAACTTAAGTGTTTGATTCACATTAGGGGTCAAAAATGTTCAAAAATTATTAAGGTTGAAAACATGTTTCAACACCTCAGGCATAGATGAATGGCCCGGAGGAACCCTACCAGCAGAGAAATATCTATATTGCTGTTCCTGTTGTTCCTTGACCCCAGTGACTACTGAGTGGGAAACACTTGCTGACGCTGATGATGAAGCGACTTCGCAAATTTTGAAATGGTTCCATGATTTTAAGGTGCTGAAAGTGCCTGGCTCTGACATAGTGTTTGAAGAAGAGTTGCGCTTTGTCGTGCGTTCAAGTGAGGTCACAACAGACCCTTGGTCCAGCAAAATCACCGTTTTTGATGTCAGATGCCAAATGGATAAAGTTTTCACTTTCAAGGTGAAAACGTGAACACCGCTGATGGAGAACCTGGAGCTCTTGGGTTGAAAAAAAGGAAAGTGTTGCCAACCAACCATGGCAAGGTCAAAGGGCACACGTGTGCACATCACAGCATTATGTACGTGTTATACTATTACTACAATATATTATATACTATATGTGGCCAAATCAGCCTTGTATCATCAAACACTTTTGGCTCAACTTTTGGTTTGTTTCTTGCTCAATTGGTCTTAGGCCTTACAACCAGCGCAACAAGAATTATATTTGGCATGACCAGCCAGATGGTGCTGTGCTTGCATAGCCATGAGCGCCATGAGCAGCTTTTGGCTGATGTGCTGAGGGTGGTGTGCTGGCATAGCCATGAGCAGCTTTTGGCTGATGTGCTGAGGGGGGTGTGCTGGGATAGTTGATAGTGTGCTGGCATGGCAAAAAGCCAAAACCCCAGATAGAAAGCAACCCCCGGAACAGCAGGAACATCCCATATTGTCAAACGTGATAGCCCAAGCCGGTGATGTTGCTCGTCATGTAGCGATCAAATTGAGATTGAGAACACAAAGTCATAGCCGAAGAGGAACCTATGTCATGGGACGGGAAATCTTGGCTATGATTCTGGAGCACTTCAGAACCCCAGGTCAACGAGAAACATCCTTCACCATGGAACACATCGTATCGATGAAGTATCTCGGTGACTCGAACCTAGAAGTGTTCTACGAGAAATGGATGGAGATGGTATCAAACATGATGCCGGATGACGTACCTCCTGATGATTGGCTTCGTGACGCTCTATACAAAAAGATTCGAAATTCGAGTCTTATGATGTTCGACATCAAGCAGTACGAGTCATGGATGGAAGGAGACCAAAGACGAAATTATCGCTACCTGTTGGATGTCATCGAAAGGCACATCTCCAGAATCAGAGAGGACAAGCATGTGGCAGCCAGAGAGAAGTATGCGAGAGACTTTGCAGGCGGCGGCAAACCTTCAGCTCCTGCTCCGAACCCAACTGCCGCTGCACCGGATGCAAATCCAAAAGCGAAGCCTAAAGCTACTCCCAAGGAGAAGGCAGCGCCCAAGGCGAAGGCCAAGGCCGATGCAGCTCCAGTTCTACCATCACCTCAGCCTAAACAGCATGCGAAAGGAAAAGGAAAAGGTCAAGGGAAAGGGAAGGATCGAGCAAACAGCCGAAGTACCAGCCCCAGATCCAAGAAGAAGATCCCATGCCATTTCCATTTCATCAAGAAAGCATGCAGAAAAGGCAAGGATTGTGAATACAGTCACGACCAAAAGGTATTTGATGCGAACAAGAATGCAAAAGGCAACGGTCGGAAGCCAGGAACTCCAAGAAGTCAGTCTCCGGCAAACAAGACCAAGAAGATTGATGAACCATGCTGGCATTGGGCTAAGGGCAAGTGTCGGTATGGAGACAAATGCAACAAACGCCACGATCCTCATCTATTCAACACTGCCCCAAACACTGAAGCACCAAGCTCAAAGGCTACTCCTGCACTTATCCATGATTGGAGTGATGATGAAGGGACGTTCCATAAGGCTGCATCGAACGTGATCAAGAAGAAGATCAGATTTGATGAGTCTAAAACTCAAGTTCAAACTTACGTGAAGAAGGACTTCGTGAAGTGCAGCCGGAAATCCCAAACCATCCCCAAAGGTCATGGTAAAGTTGGCAAGCTCACTGACCAGGTAAGGAAAGACGAGCAATGGTCTTATTCATGCAGGTTAGCTTCGAGCCGAGCGAAAGCAATGGCTATTCTGATCGATGAGAGGGGTGAACACAGTGACATTGATGAAGTCCTGGTCATCGTCCGCCCCAGTATGGACATTCTGATCAGACTCGACATCGAGGACGGTGAGGTGTCCAGGGAAGTTTTTGTGGAAAACTATGTTCAGCATATTGAAGGTCGATATGGTAAAAGGGGCAACACAATGTGTATCACTGTTCCTGTTGAGGAGAGATAAGAGATTCATATTGGATTCTGGAAGTGGTCATGATCTCATTTCATCCACACGAATAAGTAGAATGGACCTACCAACATATGATGACAAGGTCGTCAACTTCCATACAGCAAATGGGGTAACGTGTTCGACCAAACGTTCAAGCATCAAGTTCGAGGCATTTAGCGAACCAGCAGAAGCTCACATCTTGGAGGACACACCCTCCGTGCTCTCCATGGGGAAGCGATGCGTTGATCTTGGTTACTCTTTTGTATGGCCGACCGGAAGAACTCCATTCATGTTGGATCCAAATGGCAACTTCATCGAGATGACTGTTAAAGACTATATTCCCTATGTGAGCGTCGATCAAGAAAAGATCAAGTTGAAATCATCTTGTGTGGAGAAGATCATGGCAGTTCTTGATGATGGATGCTCAACATCGGAAGGTGAAGGTCTTTTGGTCATTGATGGAGAAAGTGGGGATGAACTTGAAGATCTTTCCGACTCCGTTGGACGATCCAATGTTAAATCACCCAAGAGATCAATGAAGAAACGTAAGAAAGCTAAGGTAAGAGATGATCAACATGAAGTGGCTGTTGGAAGTGATGCAGGTGATGCTGAGGAAATGTCATGCTATGCTGACGAGTATGCCGAGTTTGAGGACGACGGATACGATCCCAGCATCGCACCTGATGACATCCATGAGGATCATCCAATTGAAGTTGAAGAAATTCCTGAAGATGGAGGAGGTGAAGACGACGATGATGTCATTGATGTTGATGAGGAAGATGGAGGAGTCCGATTGAGTAAGAGGGGAACTTTGAAGAATGAAGCACGATCGAAGGTTCACCTTCTAACTCATCGCTGCAAGAACCCTTACTGTGAGTCTTGCGTGCGTGCCAAGATGAAGCACAGGAAAACGTTCAGAGGTGCGTTTCAGCGTAAGCTCACAAAGTTTGGGGACCTGATCACATTCGACTACGTTGACAACCGTCGTATTGCTGAACAGGACTATGGCGACGACAAAACCATCTTTGTCATCAGGGATAGGTATACAGGAATGCTTCAGTCTTATCCTTCTGCCAGAAAGGACACAGACGCCGTTATACGGGCGGTCAAACAGTTCATGGGCCGTCGTAAGATTCGAGAAGCATATTCCGATGATGCCCCACAGTTCGACAAGGCAATGAAGATCCTAAAGATCCCAATGGATACTTCCTTGGCCGGAAAGACCAAGCACAACTCGCTCGCAGAGAGAACTAACCAATTCGTGCTCGTGGCAACAACAACCTGTCTACTTGAGGCAGGAATTCCACCATGCTTTTGGATGTATGCCATCAGATGCGTGAGCCATTTGCTCAACATCGAGCCCAACGACGATGAGGTAAGTTCTTGGTGCAAACTTCATGGAGAAGAATTCAAAGGGAAGATGATACCCTTTGGTGCCCTCGTGTACTTCAAGCCCAGTGGTTCACGTGAACGAGAACAACAACACAAGTTTGACCCTATGGGAATCCCTGGAGTGTTCGCCGGATACTCCATTGGCCCCGGGCTACATTGGTCAAGAAAGTACAGGGTATGGGCGCTATGTGACTGGAGTAAGCAGAACTTGGCCTATGATGCAGAGAAGCCCATTGCCAAGCTGAGGACTCCACACTACACTGAAAGGGTTGAACTAAAGGAACCCCTTGAATTCCCATGCAAGTTAGAGTATGAAAGGATCAATGTTTCCATTGAAGGATTG